TAGATTTGCAGCAATGCTGATAGCTGCTTTGTTATCACAATAGAGTAACATAGGATCCTTAGATTGAAAAACCCAATTCACCTGAAAGGTTCTTGATCCACAGTAGCTCTACAACTCCATGTGACATGGCTCTATATTCTACCTCTGCATTGGACCAGACAACCACACTCTATTTCTTACTCCTCCAAGTAACAAGATTTCCCCCTACAAAAGTGCAATAACCACTAGTGGATTTCCTATCATCTACAGAGCCAACCTAATTAGCATCAGTGTAAACCTCAACTCTCATGTTACAATGCTTCTTGAACAATAGGCCTGTCCTTGGGAATTTCTTCAGATATCTTAGTACCCTGTCTACCGGTTCTAGTTGTGCTACCTTAGGAGCATGCATAAACTGACTAAGGACCCCCACAACATATGCTATGTCGGGCCTAGTCATAGATAAATAGAACAGTCTACGCACAAGTCTTTGGTACTACTTTGGATCCTCCAAGAGCACACCACCACAATCCCCAAGTTTATGATTCACATCTATAGGAGTGTTAGTAGGTTTGGCCCCAAGTTTTCTTGTATCTTTCAGGAGATCTAGGGTGTACTTTGAGAGATGAAGATACCCTGTTGAGAGTGGGCCACTTCAATTCCAAGGAAGTAATGCAATGGTCCTAGATCCTTCACTTCAAACTACGTAGTTAGGGACTTCTTTAACCTCTGTATCTCTGAGACCCAGTCATCGGTAATGATAATATCATCCACATGAACAATCAGGGCTGCTGTTTTCCCTTGTTCCTTCTTTACAAAGAGTGTATGACCAGATTGGCACTGCCTAAACCCCTTCTGTTGAACTGCCTAGTGAAATCTGCTAAACCAAGCCCTTGGTGATTGTTTTAGGTTGTATAAGGATTTTTTTAATTTGCACACTTTTTGTTCTTTGCCCTTAGCACAAAAACCAGGAGGTTAAATCATGTATACTTCCTCCAAATCCCCATTCAAGAAGGCATTTTTAATGTCCAACTGATGAAGCTCCCAGTCAAGGTTTGTTGCCAGAGAGATAAGGACCCATATAGAATTCATTTTTTCCACAGGAGAAAAAGTCTTAGCATAATCAACCCCATACACTTGTGTAAAGCCCTTTGCAACTAATCTAGCGTTGTATCTCTCAACAGTGCCGTTTGCCTTGTGCTTTATAGAGAACACCCATTTGCACCCCATAGGTTTCTTTCCCTCAAGAAGGTTCACCAACTCCCATGTGCCATTTTTGTGTAGGGCATTGATTTCTTCCTTCATAGCCTTTGTCCATTAAGGAGCAAGAAGAGCCTCCGTGACACTTTTAGGGATAGGGACATTATCAATTGCAGATAGGAAAGCACGAATGAGGGTGAGACATTTTCGTAGGATAAGAAATGAGCCATGGGGTGGTGCGTGGTGCATGATCTAACCCCCTTCCTTTTTGCAATAGGAAAGTCCAGGTCACAATTTGAAGTGTCAACATCAATGGGTTCAAAAGTTTCAATAGGGATAATAGTACCTGGGTGAGGACACTAATTTAGCTCTTGGTAGTCCGATGACATTGGTTACATAGTTTTAGACTACCCCTTGGCTATTGAACTCTATTGGCCTTGACTTCTATAACGTTGTCTCCGAAAGACACGAAATGGAGGAGGGTTAGGAGGGGAAAGCAACAAGACTTGAGTCTATTTCTGTTTCTCCTCATCAAGATTCTCTCCCTTGAGGGGAAACATAAAAAATAAGGAATGTCTTCAAAGAGCGAGACATCCATACAAACAAAATATTTCCTTGAGACCGAATCAAAACAACGATAGCCCTTTTGAGAAAAAGGATATCCAAGAAATACACACACAATAGCCTTGGGGCCAAATTTACCCCGAGTAGGAGAGAGATCATGAACAAAGCACTAACACCCAAAAACACGCATAGGTATGGGAAACACTGGGGCCTTGGGGAAAAGGAGATGATGAGGGGACTTGTATTCCAACAACCGAGAGGGCATCCTGTTGATAACATATGTAGCAATATCATAACAACATCCACCCAAAATCTTTTTGGAACATGCATCTGAAATAAGAGTCCCCAAGCAACTTCTAAGATATGGCGGTTTTTTTCTCTCTACAACCCCATTTTGTTGGGGAGTTCTGGCACAAGAACTCCTATGAATAGATCCCCAAGAAGTATAGAAATTAGAGAGGTCACCATGAAAGTACTCCTTGGCATTATTTGATTGGAAAACTTGAATCTTTGTCTGAAATTGGGTGTAGACCATACGTTGAAAATCTTTTACAAGCTTAGGAACTTCTCCTTGTGAGTGCGTAGGGTACACCTAAGTGTATCAAGAAAAATCATCAATAAAAGAGAAAACATTTGTAGCCATTCTTAGTTGGAATATTAACAAGTCTCCAAACATCAGAATACACAATGTGGAAAGGAAATTCTGATATTTTATTATGTAAAGGAAATGAAGTTCTACAATGTTTGCTCAATTGACACACTTGACACTGAAAATCATTGACGAAAACAAACTTAAACAAATATGCAAATAAGTACTTCAAAGACTCAAAAGACATATGACCCAAACGATGGTGCCACAAAATAAATTGATTGACTCGAAGACTTTGAGACTGTAAGAGTAACTTTATTCTCTAGCACAGAAAGACCATCAGCCATGTTCCCTTTACCAATTGTCCTCCCGGAAGCCAAATCTTGAAAAACACAAGAATGGCTAAGGAAAGTTACTGAATAATTCAAGGCATGTGTAATACTACTAATGGATAACAAATTAATGGGCATTTTTGGAACACGTAAAACATTTGATAATGAAAAGCCAAAAGGCAAAGATATAGATCCTTGACTAGCAAATGGAAGAGAAGGATCCATCAGTTAACCTCACTTTATCTTTTCCAGAGAGAAGGGTATATGATAGAAACAAAGTTGACAGCCATATGGTTGGAGGCACCGGAGTCAATAATCCACTGGGACTTTAGGGTATCAATAGACACATGAAAAGTAGAGACTAAGTTACCTGAGGAAGAGGCAAAGGAGGTAGAAGGTGTGGATCCAGAATTTGCTTGTTTGAGAGCCCTACCATACTACTCCAAATGGTCACGAAAGGAGTTGATAATATCCTCCTTGGGATCAGAACTAGGGGGGGGGGAATCCTGAGACTCATGCGAGGCAAGGTTGGCCAAGATGAACTTCTTTTGGGTTGGCTTCCTGTTCTGTTATTGTGCTAATTTCTTGCTGAGTTCCTGTGCCCATTTTGGTTTTCCATGCAATTCCCAACATGTCTCACGAGTGTGTCTGGACTTTTGGTAGTGGTTACACCACAATTTGTCCTTATCATCCACCTTTTTCTGACTTTCCCTCTTTCTTTCTGAATTGGTGTTACCCCTCACAGCTAAAGCTATGGTCTCCCCTTCAGGAGGATTCATAGCAGACCTCCTACTTCCCTAAAACTGAACTAAAGCATACACTTCTTGGACAGACAGGACCTTCCTGCCCAAAATCTGTACCCGGATGGGCTCATACATAGGGTTAAGGCCAAGTAGGAAAGCAAACACTCATTGCTGGGAGACCAACTGTTTGTAGGCCTTGACATCTTTCTCACTCTCCCATTCAATGGTTTGGTAGTAATCCAATTCCTTCTAGACTGATGTTAGGGCAGAGTAGTAAGCTGATAAACTCCTCTCACCCTGCTTACATGTTGAGGAACTCGGCTTGTAATTGATAGATCATTGCATAGTGTCTTTGTTCTGAATATGTTGCCTTGGCTTGATTCCAAATTTCCTTTGCTGTCTCAGCCCACATGAATTTTTTCTTGACAGATGGCAGCATTGAGGTCAAAAGCCACAACCTAATCATGCATTTTTCTTGATCATAATCAGCAGTACCAGCCTTACCCCTGGCTGCAATGTACAGCCGCATCTCCTTGGACCAAGCTAAATAATTTCTGCCATCCAAGGGGGTAATGGACATTAGAAAGTTTAGGGTCTCATAACCACCATTCATCCCACCTTGGTTGGAGGTGGTTCTTGAAGTTGCAGAATCTTCGGAATTCATGGGAATTCTATGCAGGCAGCACACACAAACTTTCACAGTCCTTACTCTATTGAGCTAACACAAAAAACTGCTAAAACAGAGCATAGTCCTTGCTGTCACAGACATTCACAGATCTGATAAACCTCTTTATAAGGCAACAAGTACCATAAAAACATTTATAAAGTAAGGTGCTGCATTCTGTCAGTCGAACCAGGTCACTTTTCACCTACACAGGTTCATTGTACATGAAGATTTCTGGGCCTTCACACCTACAAAGAGGGGTTAACTTCCTTTATACCATTTGGTCAAGCAAGAAAGCCCAACCAGTTCTTAGTCTCAACACCAAGAACCCCACAAAAAAAAGGAGGTTTAGCTTCTGTCCCTGTTCAGGCCATGGGTTTCTGAAGCTTCCAACTTAGGTTTAAATAAGAAACACAAATAAAAAAACACCGACCTCTTTAGGAACTTCAGTCAGTCATCCACTAATTTCTGGGAGCCGTATTACTCAGTTGCAGTCCAGAAAACAGGAGCAGGAAATGCAATCGAACAGTCCTCAGATGGAGATCGCACTTGTCTCTTCCATTCTCCATCCAGAGAACCAAGGGAGGGCTTCGAGTAGGAGGAGGGGATTTACAGAGCACTGTCCTGCTCTGACACCATGTTTTCAGCCGATGAAACTGAAGGAGAAGAAGAGAGAAGTTGAGAGAGTCTAAACTTGGGCTGGCAGCACCAGCCTTTATATTTATACTAGGGCGACCATACAACTTAAAAGGAAAAAAGACTAAAGTGCCCTTGCGGCACACATCTAATACTACATCAAATACCATGACATATTTGCCAAAGGTATGGGCCTTTGCCAAATATGTCATGGTATTATTTAATATTTTAGTATTTTTAGCATGTGTGCTTTATTTATCTATTGGTGGTGTCTTTCTTGACACTGTTTTCAGTCAGATACGATGCAATGGAGCAGAAGTTGGTGAATGACTTATCTCGTCAGAAAAGCATTCGCAACCGTAGGTATTGCCTGTGATATTCTTTCTTTTTTCCTTTCCATTCTTCTGCATATATAAATATACAGAGAGAGAGAGAGAGAGCTGTATTAATTGTTTTTTTGATCTAATATAGATTAAATTACTATGTCGAGAAAGCAAAGGATGCAAACATTGTTGGAATTTTGGTGGGCACTCTTGGTGTAGGTATGGTTTCTAATTAGTTCTGAAGTTGTATCAGTCCCTGTTTTAAATTTCTGTGTAGTGCCAAAAAATAAACCTATGAAGAAAACATGTGGATTTCATGATATTTTTATAGTGATTTCAATGACTATTGAGCCTTGCTTTACCTTTTTCTTCCCTTAGGATATGCAATGGGAATTTATTGGTTAAGAAACTATCTACTTTACAAATTGTTAATGATTGCAATGCTTCTTTTGGCCTATACCTGTAGGAGGTTTTCCTAACATATAGAATCAATGTGATCTTTTGCTAATAGAACTATAAATATAATATGTGATGCTTCAAAATGTTTTTATATCCTAATGGTGCACTAGTTGGTTCCAGTCTAGTCTCATAGATCAGCCTTGGAAATATTTTGGCAAGGGAATTTCTCATTATTGCTTATTTTGTAGTGCTAAGATTAGATCGAGTGTTGGATGCATGGATATGATGAATTGAGGATGGACTCTGAAAATCTTTTAAATCATGTAAGATAAAAACATAATATTTTCTATTTTTGATCACAAGAATGATGAATATTACAATTAAAAGAAAGGCGACCAAGGTATATAATAGGGTGGAGATGTGCTCTAGGGAATAAAAGGAAAGAGGAAAAGTAACACCTTAAAGGTTATACAATCAAACAAGCAGTTCTGCATCAATACAGAAGCACAAAGCATCCAAGAATGTTACTTATACTGGATTGACCCTATCATTGTATAAGTTTACTGATGTTGGAAGATTCCACTGGAGAGTACCCAGGAAAATGGGCTTTTGTGGATAACCACGAGAAACCATATCAAGATCCAGATAGACGTTTCAAATCTTTGCTGTGAGAACGAGAATCCCAACAATTCAAAAACTGAACATCTCAAATGTAAGAGTTGTAAAACCAAGTAAAGATTTGGAGAGAATAGGTCCATTAGCCCATTTGTTGTCTTTTATGTAAATATTACTTAAAGTAGAAAGATGAAAATACGTCTGGGCATGTAAAATACATATTCAACACTCTCCCTCAAGTTGGACATATATATTGTGTATATTGCACAAATTTGCAATCAATTGATTTTTTGATGTGATAAAAGGTAAACAATCAATCTCTGGTAAATTACCAATCAATCTCAATATGCTTGGTCTTAATATGCTAAATGTAAATATGAGCAATATCGTTGGCAGCTTGGTTATCACAGTATAACGTCGTAGTATCATCAATTGTGATCCTAAATCCTTTAGGAGAAATTTCAACCACAACTTGTACCAAATGCCATGACATGGTACTTGGTTTTAGCACTTGACTGATCTACTACATGTTTTTTTTTTTTTTTGCTCCTCCCTTAACTGGATTACCTGTGCAGTACCTTAAGGTAGATTTTTATGCATTCATTCTAAGATGTCTGTGATTAGCTGATAAGATTTCTCTAACAAGTGAACCATTGAATTATGGTTTTTATTTTTATTTTTGAGAAGGGTAAAATAAAATTTTATTGCTTAAAACAGGAGAATAATACAAGGGGTCAGGGCCCTGCAAGAAGCCAAGGACCTTGAAACACCCACTTGCTCCAACAGAAGAAAACATCCAAAAATCAATAAACTGAAGAAGCTGCAGAGGGGATTGGTGGTCAAAGTCCTTGGCAGCAGAAACCCAAGACCCCAGCTTGTTAAGCTAGGTGTTGATGAGCTATTCCTCTGATCTACATATATTATGAAAGATCCTTATATTGCTTTCAGCCCATATGGTCCAAACTACAGCTGTGGGCACCATTACCCCAAACTAACTTCCCTTTGCCAATTTCAGAAAGTGCAACCACAGGCTTTGAGCAAACCAACAGTGAATGAAGAGATAGATTATCAACACTGTGTTCTGCTCGCACATCCCACAAGATTGATCCTGGATCTGCAGACCTCTTCTCAGCAGGCTGTCTCTCATTAAGCACTTTCCAATTGCAATCGACCACAGCAAGAAACTAGCCTTTGAAGGCAGCAATTGTCTCTAGATCAGCTGACTAGGGAAACAAGAATTTTGGGGAGGTCTCAAGCTTCTTGCAAATGAACTAGCACAGAAACTCCCATTTCCAACCCCAAAAGTCTTCCTGCCCTACTCTAATGAAGTGTCTCCCCATTATTCTCCCATGCAAGTTCCTGTAGAATTTAGGAGATTATACCACATTACCTCCCAGAAGCTTATAAGAGTTGACGCTTAGGCATCTTTGTCATTAACCAGCATTTAAAGATGCGGAAAAATCTGCTCCAAAGGCTTGCCTGTGCACCAACCTACCACCATGTCCAAACTTGTAGATTACTCCATTTGAAAATAAATTATAATTATTCAAGATACCTTTCCACAGGGAGCTTCCACAAGTTTGAAATGGATTAGCTAATGTCCAGTTCCCTCTAGAAACTAGCTGCAATAAGATTTCTCCACCAGTCATCCTATCAACAAACCACAATAAGCTTTCAAAATGATACTTTCTTTGCTTCTATATTGATTACGTGTGGCTTGTGCATATATTAGCTGGTGTAAAGCTGGATGCATGGGAGATATTTGGGCAAGTCAAGCATAGGTACAATAGTTTCCTGACTAGTCTTTGGTACATGCATTGCCTCTTCTCTCTTTAAGAATTTTCTCCTTAATTAGTAGCTAATGAATAATTAGGATCAATTAGGGTATCTTAGATTCTTGGGTCATTGATTTCAAATTTAATGGCTAGGAATTTCTTTAGATTGCCAACTTCAGTTTGTTGAGAGTATGCAATATGTTGTAAAGGCATTTTGGTTTTTTCTCCTTTTGTATTTGGGAACCCAAGTAAGGGCAAACTTGTACATTTCCAGAAAAATATAAAAAGCAATATTTCTGGTGTGAACAGTAACTAGACACACCATTTGTAACTCTCCTCTACTCCCATTTCCACTTTTTGTAAGCGGGCCTGGGCTTTTTCCAGCTGTTCAATGGCCCCTCCATGTAGTTCTTCTGAATTTCGAATAGTACTCRAGATCCTCTGTTTTCGATTATCTAATAAATCACTTAATGGTCCGTTTGGTTGCCGAGAAAGGATGAGATGAGATGGGATGGGATGAGAAGGGAAAATTTATTTTCTCAGTTCTGTCACCTGTGTTTGGTTTCTGAGACCAGTTATCCTACCAAATCTGCTTCCCAGTGTCTGGTAGCTGAGAAAATTTTGCAGGATGGTTGGATTCATTTCATATTAATGAATGATCCATGTAATCTTCAATTCAACAATACAAGACTTGTTTTTGGGATGACATGGCATAATAGTATTTGAACATTGCCATGTGTCATGCTGACATAGCACAATTAAAAACTCCTATATATTAAAGTTATAGCTTACCTGTAATAGTTAACATTAACAATTCCATCAAACCAAGGTTCAAAATATCGATACGCCCAATACGCCGGTAGGGGCGTATCGGGCGATATCGATACTTTTTTTTTTTTCAAAACCGGTTCAGGGGGGCCAGTTTAAGGCTCCTCCATCCCCTGAACCAGTCAGAACCCCGATACACCCTCTATAGGGGCATATCGGGGAGCTCCCGGAATGATACGTATCGGCTGATATGGGTCGATACTTTGAACCTTGCATCAAACACAAATGTCATAAGTTAGTTCCCTAGGTTCATAACAACCACTGCAACCATCAGCCTAAAAATCCCCTACTTGGTTTGCCTGAGATGATTTGAAACAAAGCAAAAATAAAAACAAAAAATGCAGATCTGAGATCAAGTATTATCAACATAACAAAATGCTAGAACTGAAACAAATAAAAAATAAAGCAACAAATCTAAATGATTATTTTTCAATGCATGCATGCTTGGTTTCAATATATCATTTGGATTCATTATAGTGCAATTATTTTTTTTTTATCAATAACACTTTCATTAATTCATCAGTAGAAAATTTACAAGTGGAAGACGAACACACTTATCTTCCAAGAGTCACAAAGAACTTCAAGAAAGGAAAGAAGAAAATACAAAGATACAAGGACACTAACATTATATTGCAATTATGAACCACATGAAACATGAACCCAACCACGAAACCAAATGCCACTAGTTAGTTTGCATTATTATTTCATTTTTTCATGTTTCCATTTGGTTTATTATCTGAATTTTCAGGACTGTAAGAATGAATGCTATCAAAGATTTTAGTTTATGATCATGTTATCAATTTTAATACCACTAAAGACCCCAATGGATCAGTACTCTAACCCATATATAGCTTGAACCAACTTCTGGAATATTGATCTTCATTAATTGTAAACATAGAGCAAATAATTTAATTTTCATTGAAGATAACCTTTGATAGACTACCAAGAAGAATCAAAATACAAGAACAAACGAAAATGATCCTCCAAAATAAACTAAAACTTGGTCCCCTAAATCTAAACAGTAAATAACAAATAAAAGCAACCAATTATGCTAAAACAATGTACTCTGTTTTGCGGTAGAGTTCAAACTGAAAAGCCCCAGCTAGCCAGCACTCCTCTCTATTGAAATCCTCAATTTTGGATCTCCTAAGTCCTACTGAGCACCGGAGATTCACCTTGCAACTCAGGATTGAGCAGTAGTGAAGTGTTCTTATGGCCTTGGTAAAACAGAGACTATTTCAGGTTACCGATCGGGAGCCCCATGTTTTGCTCGCCCTTGGCTCAAAGAGCTCCATGTCAGAAACAAATCTATCTGAGACCAACACTATCAGATCTAACGCCAGACCCGAATCAAATATATCTGAAGCAGATCTATAACAGTACAAATCTAGAAAAATGCCAGATCTGGAAGAGGCAGATGCCAGAAGCCAGATCTGGAGCTTCGACGTTAAAATGAATGCCTTAGAACGGTAGATCAGATGTTTTCTGGCTCTGGACGACCGGGGATGGAAGTAGATGGCTGGAAATTTTGTGGGAAACTCATCCACTGAACAATGATAAAAATGGTACAAAAATGGATGTAAATCACGAGAGGATGCCAAA